TAAAGTCTGGGAAGTTTAATTTACAGCATACATACAAAAGTTATTCTATTCATAATATTCCCCTAAAAAGACCGCTGGATAGTGCTCTTCCCACAAAAGATTTCCACAAAGTGATGGAGTTCAAGAAATTTTTCAGAAAAAAAAGTCGACATCAGTTTCACCTCATCATCACACATATAGTACTACATTCCTCAGAAAGAGATTCCGGTTGATTTGGTTTATGATAAGGTTAATATTTGTATATTTCTAGTTAAATCGGCATGTCCAGACTATTTTAGGGCAATTTTTTAACTTAACATGTGTTTCAATAGTTTTTTTCTTCTTCATTTCCCAAAATATCACAGAACCATTCTATGATACCGCGATTTTGAAGCATTTGATCCCATCGCATTTAACAATACTTTCACGGATTTTTTTTTTTTTCTTAAATTCCATTTTTGCCTAATACTTAGTATTGCTCCAGTTGCATTTGCTTCATTCAAACTAAGCGGCACCCATCAGTAACGCATTTCTTTTTGGATCTCTCATATTGAGTTGTTTTTCAATTCACCTATCTTTTCCAGCACCTGTGTCAATATTAACTTATATTTCGACGAAAGCGAACAAGAGAGAGAGAAAAAACGCAAGAAAAACAAAAACCTAATGGCAAGCAGCAGAAGTAGTACGAAAAAAAGGACAACGGAATATTTGTTCTATTTCAGGTAAGGACGAACACAGCTGAACACAATTGCCAACGAAACATTTTTCAATTGGACCAGGGAATGAATGGCAAAAAATAAAAACTGAATACATTCCGATTCATTTACGCAAAACGAGCAGGGAAAGAGAGAGAGAGAGAGAGAGAGAGAGAGAGAGTGGAAAAGAACTAAAACAGAAATATGTAAAACTACCTTGCCGCACCAACAACGAATGGTTTGGTGGGCTGGGCGGCGAGCCTTCATTGCGAATCACCAATTGACCCAAATTTTAAATCTCGTTCTCAGCAAAAAAAAAAAAAAAATGATTCACAAAAAATATGAAAAGCAACATAAAAACGCATAGAACTCTGAAATGGCATGGAATGTATGTGTATAGGTATACAACAACAACGACAATAACAACAAAATGAATTTATGCGTTTATAACTATAACATAGTGAGTCAAGGGGAGCTAAGAATCCAACCAGAGAACCAGGTCAAAGAAAAGAACAACAGCATAAAAAATTATTAAAGTGATTTATAAGCTTGGGAGAGTGGCTGCTGCGATGGGTTGGTTGGTGGCATCAATCTAAGAAGTTCCTTGTGCTACCCCCCTCCACCCCTAGCTAGAATTAATGGACCACTTTCAAGGATATAATTCATAATTGTGTTGTTTTGCAACAATAAAAATAGCAAAAAAAGCAACAACAGTATAAGAATAAATGGCAGCAATTAAAACAATGTCTGAGCAGCAATAGTGGAAAATTGAAATTATAATTGGAAATATGAATGAAAAAGAACAGTAAGAGAAAAATTGAAACAAAAAAACTTGCTACTGAAACAAAAACACAAGAAAACTAGTTGGCCAGCAGTCAAAGTGATTCCATTTCAATTTAGCCAAGGGAATGGACAAATGAACCCCAAAACAAAAATCCATTGAAATAAAATACCTAAGTTTGAGGTTAATAAATAGAAAATGTCTTTTGGCCACAGTTCCAAAAATGGCAACACTAATTGCTCTGCAATTTGTTTGCAAATGAAAAAGACAAACGAAAAATGATGCAAGAGGGTAGACAAATTATGATTATTTTCATATTCTGTTTTTTTAATTATTTTCACAGCAAACAAACTAGAACTGAAGAAAAGATGGAGGCAACATCAATCCAGTTCATTAAAATATGCCCTCAAAGCACAAATTGGAAATGTGTACTCATGTGGAAATGTTAAAGAAATAAATTCTTTTTTTTTTTGCAAATTGAAATCATGCATGCTATTGCTTATTATTAAGTCAAGTGGAAAATAATTTAGAATTCACACAAATACCCATATGCTTAGGAAAAAAAAATGATAATTGATTGAAATAAAAAAGAAAAGAGAAGTGGAAACTAATACTCTTGTAAAAGCTCTACAGGGCGTATGATAGTTGTCATCATTTATACGACATTATGGTCATATACAATTCTTAATATCGATACAAAAACTGCATGTAAAAAATGAGGAATGTTTTTCATTATTTGAATATTTGAAGGAAATTAACAATTATCAAGCAAAACATGAAACGCCAAAAAGGCATATTAAAATGTGTGAACCATATTTAAATTGTTTAATTTTCTTTAATTTGAAATTTTTTATTTTTCGATAATTTTTTATTCTTTAATTTGATATTCCATTCGGTAAATATTGAAAAAATGAGTCATTAAAATTCCAAAAAGTGCAAGAACTTACTCCAACTACAACTTACAGAAAGAAAATAGACTTAAAACAGCTAAAAAGTTGCTTCTCTTGGTCGAAAGTTGTGACCTGCGTAGATGGTTTTCTCCGATGAGAAAACATTCGTTGTCCAGCAGATTGTAAACAAACAAAATAATCGTGTTTATTTGTCATAAAGGTCAGCTGAAAATGTACACCTTCGGTTGGCCACCAGAACTCAAGCGCCGGCCATAGTGATGGTGTGGGCCACCATAACAGTCGATGATCTCTCCGCTCGTATTAATCCACTGTGGCATCAGAATAAATGCCGAATGTTATCGCGAAAAAATTCTGGAGGGTGTATTAAAGCCTTGGGCACGCAAAGATTTTGGCCGCAGACCTTGGTTATTTCAACAGAACTTAGCACCATCGCACTCAGCACACGCCTCCCAAGAATGGTTACAAAATGAGGTTCCTCGCTTCATTTCCAGCGCAGAATGGTCACAAAAATCTGCGGATACCAATCCGTTGGACTATTGTGTCGAGTATTTTGGAAAGCACGGTTGGCACTAAACTATATCAAAGTGTCAATTACCTCAAGCAAGCCCTTCGCCGGGAATGGACCAAATACCGCAGAGCAACATTCGGGCGGGTGTGGCGGTTTTATTGACCGTTTGAAGGCCATAATTCGTTTCAAAGGCGACCAATTCGAACAAATCTGAACTCATTCTAAAATTTGATGCTATTTCCGACGTTTTTTGCTTTCATTCAATAAAATTTAAAAACAATTTAAAAATTATGGCGTTTGACTTTTTTGCAGTTTTTTTATATCACCCTGTATGGTGAACACATCTAAATTCACAATGCAAATTCAAAATTACATGGAAGACATAAGGGGATATTTTAAAGTGTAAACTTTTTCTAAGGAAAACAAATACCGGCAAAACGTTTGCCTGGAAATAAAAATCAATTAACCCATTGTGGAAGGTTTTGCTAAATTTTTGAAGTCTCTTTTCTCGATCCTTAAAAAGTTGGACAATACAGTATCGTGGAAATCCAGGTTCATCGTTTGCGGAGAATAAACCTGATCATGAGAGTTTTCTAAGTTTTGAGCACTTGACAAAACTTAAAATGGAGATTTAAAATCTAAAGGAATTTCAAGGATTTTGTTTGTTTTTAATACACTTATATGAATTTGCACAGAGTTTTAAGAATTTGAAGAAAGGAAAAAATTGGAAGGACCGTATTTACACAGGACGGTATTTACACAGTTTTCTATTTCAGGGAAAAACTTGCCTATCTTGAAGGTTTTTTCTAGATTCTCCGAAACGTTTTCTCCCCATAAAACATATTTAAGAGACCTTCTGCCTAGAAAGGGTCTTAAAAAGGCTTCATAATATTGAAGACCTACAAGTCACGAAAATTGGTCGGAGGGTGGAAGAAATTATGTACGAAAAGTATTGTATAGTGAAGGCATCCATAACGTCTTTATGGCTGGTGGTTTCAAGAGTTTGATCTGTAGAGGTGCTGAAGATGGTATTGTTTTTATAAAAAGACTCGAAAAGATTTTTTGGTATTTTTGGCCTAGATGAGGTCTTTTTTGGGACTTTAAAAAAGTTATAAATATTGAAGACCTTGAAAAGGCATGTTCCACTGTTTATAGGATGATTTTAGCTTATGTAGGCTCACTATAAGGTCATATTTCTGAAGATAATCTCCAAAAGCTCGTATGTTTGCAGAAGTTCTCCGAATTCCAATTTGAGAGGAGATGTCTGGCGAGTTGTTGCGACTTGTATAGGAGCATTTTTTTTCTTGTTTTTGAATAGAAATCTCATATTTTTAGAACAAATGAAGGTTTTTTTTGTAGAAGTTCTTGAGACCCCTAAAAAACACATTCACATGAGTTTCGAGATTTAGCTAACCCACTGAAAGATATTCATTGGTGTATAGAAGATATTGTAAAGGTATTCGGTCGAAAAAAGAGACCGCACAAATTCTCCGGCCAATACAAAACTATTTTGTCTACCTTTGAAGTCTTCTGTTGATATATCTAAGAGGTATGTTTCAGCTGAAAATGTCCTCACTAAACATCTCATCATTCCCTGTATATGACATATTTTAGATAAGCTTAGTCAAGTAAAAAAATTAAAATAAAAAATACCGAGATAATCTTTAGTCCTTTTAATTTAGATAATTTAATTTCTAACCCTTGCCTTATTAGCAGGATGACAATGACTTTTTAAAGCAAATTTCGAGATGAATTAGGTTTCGACTAATTTAGTTGTATGATTTATTGGAACAGTATTTCCCCGCCCGAAGGCAATTTGAGGAAAAGCCTTGTCATTTCCGCCATAACACCAATATTATATGTTATAAAAATGTTTTTTTTATTCCATATTTCATGAGTTATGATTCCTGATTTAAACCCGACAAAGTCAAGACAATCACAAAAGATCAACACAACAACGTTCGCAACATCAATAACCCCGTTGTCACAACTTCTGTGTTAAACTACGATGATGATGATGAATATATTGGCGTATTGGCATGTTGCAATTTGAATTTTGCAATTTGTCAATCCAGACACACACATTCACTCACACACTGAAAGAAGAGAAAATCGTTTGTACTTAC